AATAATACTCTTTCTTTAGGCAAAAAGTTTAGAGAAAACGTTATTTACAACCAAAATGGGTAGAGAAGCAAGGATTTTGTGTACACTTTGTGAAAAATACTTTTAAATTTATTAGAACATCAAAAGACAACGAGAACAATACCTACTACCTAAATAGCCATATTTTGTAGAGCGTAGTTTTTTCGGATGGCCGAAAAGAAATTCGTTCAAAAGCCAGCATCCTGAAATGACTGATGTATCTAGGGATTATTCTACACTTTAATCAGTATTACAACACTACTTAAATAGCCTTTTCGATTCAGAAACGTATTTCAGGATTTCGGTAAACATGTAATGAGTTGGCAAATCTACTGTACTGACTGTTAACTTACACCGCTAAAACTAATCCAGGGGGCTGAAATGGAGGAAACGTGTTAATGAAACTTGCGTCTATTTTATGTTCTCAATCCATACCAAATATTCCCACGTAGGCCTATATTTGAAGCACATTAGGACAACCCAGAAGGGAATCAATTATTGTCTATTCATAGCAAGAGTACAAATGTTTGCCCACAAAAGAAACCAAAATATTGTTAATGTCCACCGTGGAATTGTTTCTGTCAGGAAGTTTGTTCGAAGTCAAAAAACTTAAAGGGAGTGTTCAGTAGTTCTGTGGAGTATGCGCTACAGTACTCGCGGAATAGTAGCATTATGAAAAGTCGTCCTTACCTTAAGACTATTAAACATTTGTGCTTAAAAACAAGGGCAATCAAATATCCGCTAGTATTTGTGATATTTGAGGAATTCATTGAGTGGAATCCACTGTTCCTACATTACAGCAAACGCGCGAGCCGATCGTTAATCCTTCCCTTATCCCTTTGATCTTTCTCCGCAATTGGGTGCGATCTTCATGCAATATACAGCCGCACAATTTTCTGATACAATGAATCATCCCTGTGGTTAATAGAAATTATGACAACACAAGCAAGAGCAACGGGTCTCGACCTTTGTTACATAACTGACCAGGAAAACTTAAAAATTCACAATGCTGTTAGGAATATATATGTAGGGTGTCTCAAAAATGCATGCACATTTTAACAACTGAGAAATTGTCATACCAAGCAGTGGAGAGGTTGTTAAAGATGGGGCTTGCACAATGCAAGTTTCGTGAAAGGTCCTACCATAAATAGATCTTGCCAAACAAGTGGGTTGGACGGAGGTTTCATGGAATACCCTCCTCGATCATTCAGTAGTCATCTGGTAGATTCTAGATTGATTACTAAGGCAGAATAGCGTGATAGGGTGAGCGCCATTCCACCACTTATTCTTTAAACAGTAATCTTTAGGCAGTCAGCTTACTACATCATAATTGGTGGATTCCATACTTTGCAACAGACTCGGTGGGTGACTTGACATAAATGTGAGTAAACTCGCAGTCCCCGGTAGGGTTTCAGAACTCAGGTGATTATAGCGTTGGCTGTACTCAAGACATGCCTTTGTTGCCGTGATTTCGAATCCCGGCGAGGCCCCCGAGCTTTTAATAACTTGGTCAAATGAAGCACCAGACAGCTGTTTGAAAATACTCGACATATAAAGTCTAGGCTGTGAACCGATAATAGTCACTGAATTGTGGACAGCCATCGAAAAATATCAAATACCAAATCAAGTGATTCCTAATGTTTACGATTCCATTGCCATCCCACCCCAATGCCGGCCGGTGCGTATTCCCGATAGCGCTGATCTGCCTCCCCCGTGTTGATCCGCGCTGCCCGTTTTGGGGGAGCAAATAAGGCGCTCAGGGCAGGGTAGGGGCTAGCTCCTCGCTGTCACACGTCCGCGATAACGATATTCACTGGCGCCAGTACCTGTGACAACGCGAAAGACCGCCCTCATCTGGTTGACGCTAGCCTAAACAGCTAATCCCATTTTTTCGAGTAGGGGACGTGTGGACGAGAACGCCCTGCAAAGGACCACACAATGGCCGAAACTGACGCCAACTTGGTCGCGCGATTGACTGTCGAAGTGAAATTAGCCGACATTTTTTCACAAGGAGCTGTAATACAGCCTGTGTGGCGTCTACGTCACTGGAGAATAAACAATTCGTTCTCTATTAAGTGCGTCTTCGGGCAGCTGCATATGGCCGACCCACACAGTTTTTACATGTACATATGCGACTTTTTTCCGTTTTCAACGAAATTGTGCCTGAACGTAGTACTCGAACCGATCACAGGTTCTACGAAGACTGAAGAACCTATCAAGAGAACAAGGGTGTTACGTATACTATGTACCGTACTGCTTCGGGTCGAAACAAAATGATCATGTAATTAAAAATTACTGGGATAATCAAAGCATGTATCAGTTTTTGTGTTGAAAAAGTTGTACGCTTCAAGAGTAGTGAAAATGCGATTCCCAGGTAGCATATCAAAAG